TTCTCCTTCTCCTTCTCCTTCTCCTTCTCCTTCTCCTTCTCCTCCTCCTCCTCCTCCTCCTCCTCTCCTCCTCCTCCTCCTCCTCGTGTTAATTTGGAGATCAAACCCTTGGGGATCTTCTGACATCTGGCCGCTCCCAAGTAGCTTTATTCTTGTCTGTAGTAGAGATTTGACTCTGGCTGAACTGTGTCTGAGTCTTCTCCAAGTCAAGCTGAGAACTTTTGCATGAAAGGGGAAGTGTCTGGAGGTAGGGGACTGACCACTCAGCTTGGTACGGGTGCCTGCCTCCTGGGATAGTCACACAAGGGGAAGGAAAAGTGGGGCCAGGGTGGTGGTGTGGATCGGCAGCGGGGAGATCCAGGTTCTGATCCCCCCTTCAGCCATGGGAGGTTCCTGGGGGACTTTGGACCAGTTTCTCTCTCCCCACCCAGCCTACCTTGCAGGATTGTTGTGGGAGGGAAAAAAGGGAAGGAGGGAACACTATGCATGTCATCTTGAGCTGCTCAGGGGAATGCAGGATATAAATCTAAGAAATAAGAGAACAGCATGGTGCAGTGGTTAAGGAGTTAGGACTGGGGAGAAGCAGATTTGGGTTCATCCTCAACATTGGGAGCTCAGTAGGGGATTCTGGGCCAGTCACGTTCTCTCTGCCCAGCCTACCTTGCAGGGTTGTTACAGGAAAAGAAAATGAGTGAAATCTATGCCACCTTAAGGAATGCCGGGTTATCACACCAGCCAAACACACACACACACGTCTCAAGGCAGGTCAGCTGGTGCCTTCCAGATGTTTTGGTCTTCCCATCAGACTAGTTTGGCCAACAGAAAGGGATTGTGGGAATTCTTCAAACCTCTCGAGGGCACCAGGTTGCAGATCCCTGCAGGGGCTGTTTTGGGCAATATCTGCCACACCGTGTGCCTTAGCACCTGGGGGGAAGAATAGCTTGCAGATCTAGGCTTCTTCTGGAACAAGGTCAGGCTGTTGCAAGAAGATGGTCATTTTGGGGTGGCTTTTATAGAACTGTCAGGCAGGAGAGACGGTGGGGAGAAAGGGCACGGAATTATGCAAATGGTGGGAGACCAGATGACAAGAGAATAGTGGGCACCCTAGCAATGGCTGGGTGGGCAGATGGTCACAAGCGGGGGGGGCATGCTATCCATGTGGGCAAACGTTTCTTAATTCCTTGACTCCAAACTTCAGGAAACTCTGCGCCCAGTTTTTAGCATTCTCCCAGAGCTGCAGATGAGGGGATGAAGTCTTGCTCACGGACCGAGAGTCTTCCCGCAGCCAGTGCCTTTTCCAAGTTGCCCTCTTTTCTTCCTCCTTTTAATCCCTTTTATCCGAGGCGGCTGAAGGTCCAACTTAAAGTCCCAGCGGGCATATACCAGCCTTCTCAAGGTGCCTCAGCTGGCCGGGTGTTTCTCCTTTCGTCCTTGCAACAAGAAGCCCCTCTGAGATTCCAGGAATCTTTGTGGGCTGAGTTCCTACCGAGGTGCCATCAAATTATGATTTTTTAAGCCACCGAAAGAAAAACCATTGCTTATGGGGAGAATTGCCCTAATAAGGCAAAAGCACCCTTGAATCAATCTTAATGCCTCCTAACCGCATCCGTGCAATTATTTTTAGCAGCCTCGCTGGAATGGCCTGCCACGGCCTTCTTCCAGAATGTCTTTTTTTTTTTTTTTTAACTTCTAGTCTTGCTCAGAACCCTGGCATTTCCTGGTGGTCTCCCATCCAGGTACCAACCACGGCCGACCTCGCTTAGCTCTTTTGAGATCCCTGCCAATTTTGCAGACATAATTCTGCTCACTTTAATTTATTCAATTTAATGAAAGCAGGCTTGGTATTTGTCTTGCAACACAATGCATGTCCTTTGAACAAAAAAAAAAATCCTGGGGGAGGCAGTTGCGTCTCTGACTGAAGTGGTGCAAAAGAGATATGGTGCATTTTGCACAATACCCCCCTGCTGAGCTCATGTGGGGGTGTCAAGGTGTTTGCTTCACTGTCCAGATTCCTCTCTGCTTTTCGTTTATGTGGGCTCTGGGGAAGCAAGGTGAGTGGGAGAAATGGATGGACTAAATGGCTTCTTTGTTCGAATCGGTATGTTTGCATGGGGGGGGCAGGGGATGGGAAAATGGCCAAAAATGATGAGTGGCTTGATTGAGTGGCTGGATCTGAACCGACTGAAACATCCTGATAAAATTGCACCTGTGACTGCTCTCTGTAAGAACTCTTCTTACGCCTCTGGGTTTGTGGATTTTCGGCGTGGTGATTTGAACTGGAGACCCCCAACGCAAGATCGGGGAAAGCTTGGAGGGGGCCGGTGCGCGAGACTGTGAAAAACAGTGGCTTGAAAAAAAGGAAACCTCCAGAGTGGCTGGTTGGCTTCTCCCTCCACTGGACTTTGGCTAAGAAAAACGATCGGGGCAGGAGGGCAAGGAGACGCGACGGGCTGATCCAGACGGGCAGATTTCGATTTCCCGCGGGCAGATTTCGATTTCCC